TCGTGCGTTATGGACCCTCGATGATCATGTAGCAGGCATATGTCCTACTGCTCTGTGTGCTGCCCCGAGTCATTTTGATGCGCGCTTTCGAATATGACAGGCGCTACATGCAATAAGACGTAATGAATTTGTACTGAATGCTGCCCCTGCAGAACACCACATTGCCAAGATCTCGTCCGCTGCGCATGCGTTCTCCGTGTCCAGCGGCATGGCCGCGCTCGACGTTATTACACGCCTGCTCAAGCCGGGTTCCGAAGTCATTGCTGGGGACGATCTCTACGGCGGCACGAACCGTCTCCTAACTTACCTCCGCACGCACATGGGCGTGATCGTCCACCATGTCGACACGACCAAGGCGGAGTCGGTCATTCCGGTCCTCCAGCCCGGGAAGACCGCCATGGTGCTCCTGGAGTCGCCCACGAACCCGCTCCTCAAAATCGTAGATATTGCGGGCATCAGCGCGCTCGTGAAGGAGAAGTGCGAGGAGGCTATCGTGGTTGTCGACAACACCATGATGAGCCCGTACCTGCAGCGTCCTTTGGAGCACGGTGCGGACATCGTTTACGACAGCGCTACGAAGTATCTGAGCGGTCACCACGACCTGATGGCGGGCGTCATCACCTGCAACCGCGATGACATCGCGAAGGTAAGCGAAGCATGACCCTATCGTACCACACAATGTCTGAGCGTTTCCTAGAATATCGCGTTCTTGATAAACTCAGTCGGCAATGCGCTTTCGCCGTTTGACTCCTTCCTCCTCTTGCGTGGTATGAAGACGCTTGCCATCCGCATGGACCGCCAACAATCTACCGCTATGCTGGTGGCCCAGCTCCTTTCCAAGCTTGGGTTTGTCACTCACTACCCTGGTCTGCCTGACCACCCCGGCAAGGAGATCCATGACCGTATTTCTGACGGTCAGTCAAGCGTTTCTCATATTTTTAGACGCTGCTCATTCAGCTCTCTGTAGGTTACGGCGCCGTGCTCTCCTTCGAGACTGGTGACAAGGAGCTGAGTGAACGCATCGTCGCTGCCACCCGCCTTTGGGGCATCAGCGTGAGCTTCGGCTGTGTGAACAGTTTGATCAGCATGCCTTGTGTCATGTCGTACGTGCTCTCCATAACATGTTTCGTTGCAACCATTCACTGGGGTCCTGTGCAGACATGCTTCCATTGACCCTGCTGTCCGGGCGGCCCGCGGCCTTCCTGAAGACCTCATCCGTCTTTGCGTTGGAATTGAGGACCCCGCGGATTTGCTAGACGATCTCCGCCATGCCCTGATCGAAGCCGGCGCAATTACATACGCCGCCAACGACTTCGTGCGGATCCCCAACCCCATCAACCGTGCCGTGGAGAAGCTTGCTCTCGGCGAGCCCCGCATGGAGCCCCTGCGTGACAACAGGGAATGGTTCGTGAGCGTTCCGGGCAAGGTCATCCTGTTCGGAGAGCATGCTGTCGTCCATGGAGTGGTAAGCCGCATGCGTTTCGTGGTGCGCCCAAAGCAGAATCTGACTTGCAGTATAGACGGCCGTCGCAGCTTCTTTAGATTTGCGTTGTTATGGTCTGACGTCTCCTCGACACGACGGCAAGATCTCCGTACACTTCACAGACATCAACGACTACAAGCACGAGTGGGATCTAGACGAACTGCCTTGGGATGCCGTCGTCCCGATACCTAAAGGCGACGAACACCCCGAGTCTCTAGACTTGCGCGTGATCGAGGCGATCAAGACTCGTGCTCTTCCTCTCGAGTCGCAGATGCCGCCGAAGACACACGCCGCCGCGGTGGCGTTCCTCTACCTCTACATGATGATGACCTGCAGCAGCCACCGGCCATCTTTCCACTTCGTCTGCCGCTCGACCCTCCCCATCGGCGCCGGCCTCGGCTCCTCCGCCTCCTTCTCCGTCTGCGTCGCCACCGCGCTGCTCATCCTCCACCAGCGCATGGAGCTGCCCTCCCTCCCCCCGCCCACGCGCGAGCCCACCGCCCCGGGCGACCCCGGGCACGTGAACCTCTCGCATCAGGGCCGGCGCGCCATCCCCCCAGCGCTCGCCGAGGAGACGAACCGGTGGGCGTTCGTCGCCGAGAAGGTGTTGCACGGGAACCCGAGCGGGATCGACAACAGCGTCGCGGTGTTCGGCGGCGCGCTTTCGTACGTGCGCCCTGGGTTCGGACGGCGCAGCGGAATGGAGCATGTGCAGGGCTTCCGCTCGTTGCGGTTCTTGCTGGTGGACTCGACGGTCCCGCGTGATACGAAGGCGCTCGTGGCGGGCGTGGCACGGAAGAAGAGCGCGGAGCCGGCGCTGGTTGCGCAGCTGCTGGACGCGATCCAGACGATCAGTGACGAGGCGAGGCGTGCGCTTGCTGACCCCGAGCTGCCGCGCGGAGCGCTGCTCTCAGGACTGGCGGTACGTTCTTATGTTTTGTATATGCAGCTGCACCAGCGTACTGATCAAGCGTGTGGGTGACAGGCACTCATCGACGAGAACCACGCACACCTGGTATCGCTGGGTGTGTCCCACCCCGCCCTAGAGGCGATCCGCGCCAAGACCTCCGCGTCGCCCTACAACCTCAGCACGAAGCTGACGGGGGCGGGCGGCGGAGGCTGCGCCGTCACCCTCGTTCCGGACGACTTCTCGGACGACGACCTGCAGACCCTCATTGATGCGCTCAAGGCGGACGGCTATCAACCGTACGTGACCGCCGTCGGCGGATCAGGGCTGGGCATCCTCTCCCCGTACGACCCGATCGTGGTCGACCAGCAGGACGACGTGTCGCCGCCGATGTCGCCGCCGATGACCCCCAGCCCGCGCGACGAGCAGGAGGAGCCGTTCCGGCCGTCGATCCGCCGCCGTTTCGAGGAGGTCGACGTGGGCGAGCTGTCGCAGTGGGCGTCGGGTCGCGGAAAGTGGCTGTATGTCTAGAGTAGAGGAGTGCTTTGACTAGATATTGCGGGTGCTTCTGGAGATTGATTTGTTAGTGCAGCGGAGATACGTGTATTCTAGAGAGAAGTTGCTGTTGATGACTATTACATGTGCGAGGAGACTTGGCTATGCTACATACTGGGGTGAGTGATATACAGCGTGTTGTGGTGCACTACCGGGTTTCTACGTGGGTCATCTCTGTTTATGCTCCGAAGCACGACCACCAGACCTCGCCTTCTGAACCTTCTGACCCACGTCCTTCCAACAACTCCACCTCGATGTCGTTACCTGGAGCGACAAACACCACCCCACCCTCGTCCAGCTCCAGCTGCTCGCCGCCCTTGCTGACCGCAATCCGCGCCTTGCCCTTCATGACGATCCCAATCGTTGGGCCGCCCATCGCCCCAAGCCGCTCCGTCCCCGCGCCCTTGCTGTCCAGCAGCGTGCCCAGCACGACGAATTCCTCCAGTGGCGGGTTGTACTGCGACGTGCGGCCCTCGCGCGAGTGCGGGTACGGCTCGCGTGGCAAGGCCCAGTGGGACACCGGGCGTGCGGTGTAGGTGAGCATCTCGACGAAGGTGTTGATCTGCGGAGCAAGAGACTGAGGCGCGTCGAAGGCGGCGTTGACGACGTTGTCGGAGATGGCCATGCATTCGATTATGTCTGCCGCGCCGGTCAGCTGATATCCAGCTTGGACGTATAGAATAACGCACCTCCTTCGAGGTAGGCGTGCACCTCGTCGGCACCGATGTAGATAGCCTCGCCCTTCTTGAGCTTCGCAAAGTTCATGAAGAACGTGGTGGCGAGGACGCCTGCGTCACCGGGATACTGGGCGTTCACCTTCAGAACTAGCTGGGCCAGCTCGTCGCCGTTGGGGATACTGAGCTTCCCCCCATTCTTGATACGCTCCTCGAGCTTGGTGATCGCGCTGCTGACCTCACCGCGAGCCTCAGCTCCACGCTTCAGCAGCGTGCCGTATATCCGCTTTAGTAGATCGGTAGAAGGGTCCTGCGTGAACGACGCCACGAGCATCGCGTCGCCAATTGCGTGCGAGAGCTCAGGGACTTTCTGCAGGAAGGTCTTGATTTCGTCAAGCGGTCGGAAACCTACGAAGCCCGTGAACGCCGTGTCCTTGTCCCCGATACGAGCCTTTCCTAGGGGATCTCCTATGCAGACGGCAATCTCGGGCTTGTGGTTCGCGTCAACGAAGTTGGAGGGGTCCTTTTGCTGGAGCTGCTCTGCGAGGCCTTTGTCGGGATGCGCCTGAAGAGGGAGCGCTTTCTCGATCGAGAGCACCTTGAAGAGGTAGGGAATGTGGGTTGTGATCGACCATTTGCGAACGAGGGTCTCGCCGAGGTAGAATCTGGGGTCGGTGGAGATGAGGGAGAGAAGGGACGTGGACGGGTCGTCGAAGAGGTGTGCTGGGCCGTTTGTATGTGTGCCCATCCATATCTGGTCATACCGGTGAACGACGTGATACGTTAATATTTTTACGCCTCATACCTCTGCGTATGATTTCTTCTCATCTATTTGGAAACCGTGTCCGATCGCGTTGCCTCCGAGTCGCGCTGCGAGGGACGCGCTGCCTGTCCTTCCCCAGTCGTATTCCTGGACGGCAGCTTTGAGGCGGATGAGGTTTTTGTGGGTGGTCATTGTGGTCGTAAGTAAGAGGATGCTGTGGGCGATTCATGGTCAGTAGGGGGTCTATATACGGCTGCTGTGCCATGAGCCAATCCTCGTCGCTCCAACCAAGATGATGAAGGAAACGACTCGGTCATGACATCACCACCGAGGATGCCGGTCCATATCGGGCATCTTTCTTGCCTTTTTGAGCGCCGATGGGCTCGCGTCACATTTTCTGATTCACACCTCGCCTCAAAGCTGCTATAAAGTCTAAGTCGAGACGACGCCTCGCGCCTGCGACTTTCCTCCCTCTTTCGCGATCACCTTGGTCTCTCACTTCCCCTCTCGTCGATATCTCTCTCACTATACCTTCCTTCCCGATGTCCGCCCGCTATCAACAGACGCTCGCCTTGAATGAACACTGCTACAGTGTACATGCCATTAACTTAAATACATGGCGAGATGGCCGAGCGGTCTAAGGCGCCAGACTAAGGAGCACCTCCAGTGTTATGATATCTGGTCCGAAAGGGCGCGGGTTCGAATCCCGCTTTCGTCAGCAAGTCTTTTTTGAGCTGATACGGACCGGGGATCGATGGGCTGGACCGGCTGGACAGGGAGAGCTCGACGCGGCGGGATGGGGTTGGAGAACGGTAGATTGGCGCTAGTATGTCCGTACTCCGCCTCTCTATCCAAGCTTTCGTGCGGGCCCAGGGTCACGGTCGTCCTTCTATCCACCTATCCGCCATCTCTCAAGTTCGGCGACATCAATTTTGCCTACAACAGCAACGCGTCATACCTATTGGACGCTTGATCCACGCGAATCATCTGAGACCTCATCTTAGGAATTACACCACTAACGCGACAAGCATGTACGCGCCAATCGAGCCTTACGAGACGGGAACGCTCAAGGTCTCCGACATCCATACCCTTTAGTATGAGCGATCTGTTTGGACGTCTTCGCACTTATATTCATGCCTTGCAGCTTTGAAATCAGCGGGAACAAGGACGGCTCGCCTGGTACGTGCCGCATTCCCGCAATAACGTGTTACCCGTTGAACTAACTCCTATACAGTGATCTTCCTGCACGGTATAGAATTCCGCCGTCGGGGACGATGTCCCAAATTTGACATCGATACTTACAGGCGGTCCCGGCGGAGGCTGTGACGAGAAGGATCGCTCGTTCTTCGATCCCTCCAAGTACAAGGTGCGCGGCGCCTACACATATACCTGCCATGTCTCTCACCACGAGTGGATCTCCAGATCATCCTTCTTGACCAACGCGGGGCTGGGAAGTCTACCCCGTGCGTGTCTACTTTTAGGCCTTAACAACCCACAAGTCGTGCGGAGGTAGCGATTCTAACTACCGGTTGAAGTACGGCCTCCCTCGAGGAGAACACTACGTGGGACTTGGTGAAAGATATCGAGAGGCTGAGGGAGCGCCTCGGAATCGACAAGTGGCATGTCTTCGGCGGTTCTTGGGTTGGTTGTTCCCCCTCCCATTAAGCTGGACAACTCGAGAGCTAACTGTTGATCTAGGGCTCTACCCTCTCGCTCGCATATGCTCAGGTAATATATTCTGTTATATCCTGCATTGAAGTTATATCTAAGGCGCCGTGCATGTAGTCTCACCCAGACCGAGTGAGGACTATGGTTCTCCGAGGCATCTTTACCTTGCGCAAGAGGTTGGCCCCTCCTTCCTGTCTAGTTCATGCCTAGCATTGACAGCCGTCTCGTAGCGAACTGCGTTTCTTCTACCAGGAAGGTGCTTCACACCTCTTCCCCGAGGCCTGGTACGCATGCCTCTGTCAATATCATGCGTGTATCCTGAGAGATGGGATAGGGAGGAATTTATTGCACCTATCCCGGAACCCGAACGCCAGGACCTCGTTACGGCGTACCATGCTCAGCTCAACGCCGCTGATGACGAGACGCGTCTCCGCGCCGCGCGAGCGTGGACCAAATGGGAGTGAGTGATATACAGTAGCCGGTGAGGATGCTGCTGACCAACGGATGTACACATAGGATGACGACGTCGAAACTCTACGTTGACCCTGCACACGTCGCAGAGGCGGAGGAGAACGACTTTGCCAAGTTCGTATTTCTGTCGTACTCGCCGCCTACCGCCATTTATTGATCTACTCTACATCTCGGCAGCGCGTTCGCTAGAATCGAGAACCACTACTTTGTTAACGATGTAAGCCGGCTACCTGCGCGTTCAGGGTCTGTGTGCTCACACCGGCATCTAGGGATTTATGCGCGACGGGCAACTCCTTGAGAAACAGGAGATTGACAAAATGTAAGCAGGCAGCCACGACCGTGGGCGCGGCGGGCGTGTCTAACTTGCGACGGTGCCGCAGCCGTCACATCCCCTGCGTGGTGGTGCAAGGCCGGTACGATGTCATCTGCCCGGTGCGCATTCTCAAGCTCCATGTTCCCATCCGTACGACGTGGGTACTGAATGCCACGTATGGCGACTTCAGGCAACGACGGCGTACGCGCTGAAGAAGGTGTGGCCGGAGATTACGCTGCACATTGTGCCCGACGCAGGCCACTCTTCGCGCGAACCTGGCACCGCCAAGCTGCTCGTCAAGGTGCGTGATCGCCCGCCGCTTCTATCGCGCGCTGCGACGTCGCGATCCATGATCGTGCTGACTGTTTTGTCCCAGGCCACGGATGAGTTCGCGCACATTTGAATGTCAGTGGGCACAGGGCGCGAGGGGCGCGAAGATGCATGCCCCGGATCTTGATGTACCGAGTATAGCGCGGGCGAGGATTGGCTAGCGGGATGGACACGGACGATGTATGCTAGGTGGCAAGGTAAGAATACATGCAGGCAATGCGCAAGTACGACTCGGCTGGCGGCTGTGCATGCAGACCGAGGTGACCGCAAGTCCGACAGTCCGACAACGAGGAGCTCGATGCCTACGGACGGCTTGACGGCCTTCCGGTGCCAGCGGAGTCGTCGCAGTCGCGGCCACCTGATATCGGCATGTTCTACTGGCACCGATGCGAAGCCGCCCTCGCCGCCGGCGGGCATTCGAGCTTCGTGTCTTCGCGTGCAGTGCCTTCGCTGTGGCTCAGGGACGTCATAGGCGTCTTCGCTGAAGCTCTTCGCCGCTGTGCTGGGTCAATCGGAACAGCTGTCGGTCGGAGAGAACACAGTCAACATGCGTAGACCTCGGGTCTTGTGAAGCTGCTCTCTGTCGTGGCACTGGCACTGATAGATCACTGCAAATGTTAAGTGAGCGTGCGAGGCCGAATACGGAGGGGAAGACTAATCGGATCGGTGACGCGCCATGGAGCCTGCAGGCGCCGCGCAGGGGACGCAGCGTGGGGGACACGACGGTGCGGGACGCTGCTTGCTTTTCCCTCATACCGTCACTGCTGCCTCTTCGCTGATCGTCCAACTATGTGTCCACATCTCCGGAGAGCCCCTGGCCCGCTCCAGTGCACTCGATTATGGCTCTTGATCTCGGCACCGATTCGGGGTTTGCACTAGAGCGCACAAACATACATAGGAGACGCCTGGAGCGGCGAAGGCCACCCTCGATAACGGACGTCGTACGACGATGCGCGCACAACAGTGCGTCTCGGTATCAGCGGGCGGCGCTTGAGACGTACGTTGCGCAATGCGATCTGACATGCTCGGGGCGCGGAAGCGGAAGGGGCAACGCGCGCATGGTGGGGACCGGTTCGGCCAGCCCCGACCGTAACCAGGCCTTCCGGGCGAGCGGGCACGGTTGGTGCACATCGCTTCTGGCCAGCCAGGTGCGCCAAGGCAGGCCTTGTGGCGGGTCTGGCGACCGTGCGGCAGCATTCATTGTGCAGGAAGGGGTGGAGATGGGCGGGGTGTGGGTGGGGAGGACCCTTGCGGGGAAACTGCGGGAGGCCGCGGGGGGCGATAAGATTAGATGCTGGTGAGATCTAATCTGATCACGCGCGAGGAGGATGTGTCAAAAATGAGAGTGGCACGACTTTGGGGACGCGCGCCTGGAATATAAGCAGCGCGCGGACCCGCACCCGGTCTCGCCGTGGTCGCTCAGCCCTTTCCCCTCGCAGCCGTACTCCGCAAAACCATCAGCGCCGCCCAACTCCCCCGGCGCAATGGACGTCCTCCTCAACCTCGCTGACGACTACCTCCTCGACAAGGCGTGGGCCGCCGTGCTTCCTGTCTCTGCGTTCACGACCGCGTACACGAATGCGCCCGGTCTATACAATTCCTCCCACGTCCCCGACCTCCCCTCCCACTCTTCGGCATGGTCCCAGCTAATTTCATACATTCCCCATCCGCCGCTCCCAGACGAGCTTCTCACCTCGCCCTTGGTCGCTTCGGAGACCGTCGCCTCTGCCTGGCCGCGGGACTATCTACCTAGGCAAATTATCTCCCTCCTCGCCGTCACGCTCGTCGGCATCCATGTACTCTACTTCACCTTCGCCGGCCTCTCGTACAAGTACATCTTTGACCACAAGATGATGAAGCACCCGCGGTTCCTCAAGAACCAGGTCAAGCAGGAGATTGCGATGAGCCTGAGGGGGTTCCCCACGATGACGCTCCTTACCCTGCCGTGGTTCATCGCGGAGGTCCGCGGCTACTCCATGATGTACAACGACGTCGCAAAATATGGCTGGGCATATCTAATATTCTCCGTGTTCTTGTGAGTAGTTTGTTTCCCGTTCTGCGCCATGCAGTGACTCATGGCGGGCTACAGCTTCCTCGCGTTCACGGACTACTGCATATACTGGATCCACCGATGGGAGCACCACCCGATATGCTACAAGTGGTTGCACAAACCGCACCACAAGTGGATCAGTGCGTTGTACCCCCGTTTCTCCACTGAGACGTCACTAATTGTTCGTTTGCGCAGTCCCCACACCCTTTGCGTCGCACGCGTTCCACCCGCTCGACGGCTACGCGCAAGGCCTGCCCTACCATATGTTCGTCTTCGTGTTCCCCATGCACAGCAAGCTCTACCTCGGCATGTTCGTCTTCGTGAACTTCTGGTCAATCTTCATCCACGACTCGGACATGATCACCGGCCACCCACTAGAGAAGATCGTGAACGGCCCTGCGCACCACACGCTGCACCACATATACTTCACGGTGAACTACGGCCAGGTACGCTATCTTTGTCCTCGCAATCTCCGCCCGTACAGCTGACTGACAGCGTTCACCTGCAGTACTTCACGTGGGCAGACCGCATGGGCAAGTCATATCGCCAGCCACTCTCCGAGCTCGACCCCATGCTGCAGGTCCAAGCCGCGGAGGCGAAGAGTGCGAAGGCCGCGCTCGGGAAGGAGGAGTGATCTCCATCCGCCCTCTTCCCCGCCGCCCGCCGTCGTCCCTCCTGCTCTGCTCTGCTCGCTCGCTTATTTTTTTCTATGGATGTTTATCACGATGCACGCCACGACCCAGCCCAAATGTACACTACTACATCCGCCCGGGCCCCGCCTAGCGGGCCCCGGCGCCCATAGATACTCGTAGGGGGTGCATATGCTTTACTAATTCCCACCGCTCATGTCGAGGGTTGTCGTCTATACCAGCATCTAATGCATGCATGTTTTTGAGAAAGTCTCATTTCCGTCGTGTGCCCGTGTGCAATTTGAAGGAGACCCTGAGTGGCGTGCGTCGCCGGATGCAGCTAAAGCCGATTGAGAATTGCAAAATCATGGCCCCCTATAGGTCGGGCGGACAGCTTTGAGGCGGGAAGTTTATGTAAATCGAAACCTTTACAAGAGATTGCAAAGACAAACACGACGACACACGACACGACACAGCACTGTACAAGGAAACGCTCGGAGGCGCAGACAACGCGGACGACTTGTGATTACAGCGATAGACAAACAGCAGTAGCAGAAACCCCTCCCCGGACCCGACCCTCGACGAGCCCGCTTTTCCAACGCCCACCCGTCTCCCCCCGCCTACCCCAGCGATAACGCGTATGTAGAATGCTCGCAGCGGTCGCAACATGAACCACGCGCGCGGCTGTGGCACACGAGCAGCAAGACGCGCGGGTCCTGGTCCCGCAGCACGCCTCACCGCTTCGAGGGCTTGCGCTTCACCTCGTCGTCCTTGCACGCGTGCAGCATGAGCTTGTTCGGGTGTCCGGGCGTCATGCCCGAATGGCCCTTGGACCAGTCGTATGAGACCGCGTACGCGAAGATCGTGCCCGCGCGGTTGAACGCCGAGCACGCCACGGGGCCGGGCGCGGACTCGAAGGCTGGCGGCGCGTATGCTGTCGGTCAGCGCGGGTGTGCGGGCAGGCGGGAGGGGGACGTTACATTTCAGGCGCGTGCGCGCGTCTTTGTCCCAGAAGTTGATGGTGCCGTCGGACCCTGTGGTCAGGTGGTGTGAGCGGGCGCGAGACGTGCGGGCGGTGCGCGAGAGTGCGTACCGCAGGTCGAGAAGGTGCCGTGCACGGGGTGGAAGCCGATGTCGTTTACGGCGTAGACAAGCGACTGGTCCTTGGAGGTCGGTGACTGATCTTTGCGGTGGCACTTGAAGGAGAAGTTGTTGCTGTATGGCGGTTCAGTGGCTCAGTCAACATGCCATCACCAGAAGCACAAGGGAGGCACGTACGAAGCATCCTTCTCTTCTACATATCTAATTGCGTCCGGCAAAAAGTCAGTGAGCTGTTCACAAGCGAAATATAGCAGAAGAACTCACTGGATGGCCACACGGCCTTCGATACTTCCCACTGCGAAACCATTCGCAGTAGGGAAGCAAGAGACTACACGCGTCTGCCACTTCAAGGGCGAAACAAGCGTCTACGTCGCATAACGATACGGATGTTAGACGAGGCAATCAGGTAGAGACCGCATGATGGGTACGTACCTTGAATGGCGTAGTGGGGTTGGCGAGGTTGAATACTTGGATGTGCCGTTCGGCAGTGCCGACGACCATTAGGGGGTATTGGACATCCATGGTATAGCAGCGCTCGGGGAGCTGCACAGTTGATACAGGAGCCGGTTGGCGCAGGTCCCAGTACTGCCGTCAGTCCAACACATCAGCCGCGTCCCTAGTACAAAGAGGGCGGGCGACTGACCTTGACTGTTTTGTCCCAGCTGCCAGTGGCAAGCACGCTGCCCTGCGGGGACTCGATCCACCGCACGACGCGGATCGGCGCGTCGTGCTGCGCGACCTGGGAGGCCTGGCCTGTGGTCACGTCGAACATGCGTCCAGCATTATCCGCACCCCCAGAGAGAATCTTGGACCCGTCCTGATACACACGAGAGCGCACGAGGTTCATATTGCACCTATGCTTTCCAGGGGAGGGAAGCACACACCTTGTTCCAGCATACACTTAGAACAGGCCCTTGGTGAGAGTACATCGCTTTGCCCTGGGTCTGCCCGTTCGCGCCGACTTCGTATATACGAACCTAGCCACCGGCGGTACAATGTCAGTACTCCTGCGTGCGCGACGCGTCGCCAGAGCATTCGCCACGCACATTGTTGTCCCAAGATCCTACAGCAAGATAATCCGCAGTAGGAGAGAACGCGACGGAGGAGATGGAGTCGGTCGGGGGGTCGGCGACCTCGATATCTTTCTCCGCCGGGGCGGCGGTGTTGTTCACGAGATTGTTCGATGACGAGGAAGAGAAGAATGACATGTTGTCCTCTGCGGCTCAGAGAGGCGGGTCCAGCGTCTCGGCCAGGGTCGAGATGAGGAGAGAAGACGGAGTTGAACTGAGAGAACGCAGCGGAACGGCGCTCGCTGCAGCGCACATGCCGCACCGTTCGCTCAGCCACAACGCGCGTGACATCCTTCCCTTTTGGGTAATCTGGTGCAGTCACGGTAGGTTCCGCAGACACTGGAGGTCTCTACGTATTTCCTCAGTCTGAGGAGGTGGAAAAGACCACATTCCCAAAGGATCCCCTGGCACTCCGCCCGTACAAAGGGAGCAAAAAAAGCGACCAACCTGGGATTCGAACCCAGAATCTTCAGCTACTATATTCCTTAAGCACCGGAAACTGACGCCTTAACCATTAGGCCAGTCGGCCGCTGTTGCCCAGTGCCCACTTGCATCGGTGGCGGTGCAATTTTTGGCCCTAGCTCGCTAGATTCACTCCGAGTCTGTCAGTATGTACTTGTCGATCGGCTTCTGGCCAACTTCTGGCTCTCGATGTTCTCCTCAGCGGAGCCCTTTAGACCTCTTTGGTAAACCTATGTTACCGCCTATCACACGATCGCGGTGCAAGTAGGCTGAATTCGTATCGACAGAACATAACATAGCCGTACCACCCTCCTGAGGCTTAGCAGGGGCGGCCTGCAGCCACGTCAGTTCCCAACGTCGTTCTGCGATCACCGTTTTCTTGTCCCGCGGGTCGTCACTATTTCACCGTTCCAGCCTTCATACCGACGTGTGAAAAACAGTGATGGCATGCATCTTCTCCTGTTGTAGAAGGTGACTTGCCACTTGCAGCAAGTCAGCGTTGTACCCGACGATCCGACCCATGGTGACGTCGAGCTGAGGTCAACATACGGATGGCGGGTGCGGGAGTATCCTGTCGTACGCGCATATATATACCGTAGCCTTGAACATCTCCATATCGCACGCCTTCCTCTTCCCTTCGTAACTCAACTTCACTACACGCACTTCAGTATGGTCAACCAATCGCGCGGCTCCCACAACACGGCTTCGGCCAACCAGGACGACATCGAGTACCACCCGCAGACAGGCGGTGCGTCCGGCAACGCCGCATACGACGACAACCTTGACTACAAGAAAGAGGATCGCGAGACCAAGCGATCTGAGCAGTCTGGCCAGATCCCGAGAAGTGAGTTCAGAGCACAGCCTGCGTGCGAACAGTTTCTCATATGTATTTCAGGGGAGGTCGACGACCTGCTCTCGAGCAGCACCGAGGAGGAGAGAGACGTCTCTGGGTACACCCGGGGCGTCGACGTCGACGCCTACAAGCAGGAACGGGACATGGATCGCGAGCTCGGCCAGACCGGAGTCATCGATGATGAAGAGGCCGTTTAGATAGGCCGCGCTACCAGCCGATGAACGCTGCTATGTCGGACAGACGAAGTAGAACTGAGAAAATTGTACTTGCACCTTTGTAATCGATCCCACGACTGGTCTTGACTGTGTGCCGGAGATGACTTGTTGACAGCTTCCGCGAGCTTGAAGGGTCTGCTGAGGTGCTTAGGAAGGCCTACATGCCTATAGGGAGTAACATGCGTAGCGGTTGCAATACAGACTCGAATGGTTGTGTAAGACTTCTTGACACCGGAGCTTTCCTGATCCATGGAAAGCACCGCGTAGTCCCCGTCGGTCTGCATGTAGCATAGCTAATGAAACATGAGCGCACTCCGAGGCGAAGTAGAGCGAAGTACCGGCAATGTGGCTTGCGCACATCAGCGTCGTGTCGCCGTGAGCCTGTGTGAGTGCGTAGACGCATAGGTCGTAGACGGCAATGTCTGGGCCACAGCCTTGACTAACGAGGCACGAGGTTGAAAACTGACGGGTTAGACGAAGTTGTAGGGGTAGTAGTGGCCGCCGTTAGAAAGAACGATTACCGCTGGTTGATGCATTAATGTCGGAGGCAGGCGCCCCGACCCGCGCGGCGCGCCACCGCGTCAAGTGGGAGGAAAGCGAACGGGCGCACTCAACGCCTCTCTCTTCCTCCACCCACCTCCTGTCCCTGCGCAGTCCCCGCTCGTCCCCGCGCCCGTCCCGCTCGCCATCCGGCCGCCGTCCCTCAATGACGGCGTTCCTCCCACTGGACGCGGCCGCCCCCTTACCGTCGTCGCCATCGTTTCTGGTGCCCTCAGCTGACACCGCTAGCCATGTTAAGCGGGTCATCAAGACCATCCTCAAGGCGCGCCGCATCGCAGTCGTGTGCGGTATGTACAGATCCGCCCTCCTTTGAGGCTGCGCGATGCTGATAATGCTCGGTGCGGTAGGTGCGGGAATCTCGGTCCAGGCGGGGATCCCAGATTTTAGGTCGTCAGAGGGACTGTTCCAGACCCTCAAGAAAGACCACCCGACGTTGAGCTCAGGGAAAGACCTGTTCGACGCCTCCGTCTTCAACGTGAGTAGTCAGCTCGGTCTACCTCGCGGCCACGCTGGTCGTTGGGGACGTAATGATGCTCAGGCGGTGCTTCCTCACGACGGCCGAGCGCATACATCCATTCTATTGCCTCCAATATCTGCTCGGACGTGGCACCCAACGCAATGCGGACGAGCGGCTGCCCTCGCGAAGGCAGAACGCCCAGTGTATTTGGGGTTCTCCCTCGATGATACGTCCTGAGGGTAATGTTTGCGGCGCCACAAGAAATTGGATTCCTCGGTGTCAATCTGCGCCGCGCCCTCAACTATGGGCGCGCATATACTCTCGCCAAGTTGTAATGGGCTGCCGCGCCTGTGCTAGCCTTCAATGTGGCTACTTCGAATATAGACGACCACCATACGTGTGTGCATCGTCTCTCATGCGCTTGCATTCTACTACCCGCTCCGAGCTATGATATCTTTTGAAAAGGCTCGCGTTATCCGCTTTCGCTTCTTAATGTTGAACTATCACTCACGTCATGTTATCTTTTTGTAGTCGGAAGACACAACATCACTCTTCTGCCAAATGATCGCCCAATTATCTCAGATGTCGGATGCCGCGGAACCCACTCCATTCCATCGATTCCTTCGTGTTCTCGACGAGCGCAGGCGGCTCCTCCGGGTATACACGCAGAACATTGACGCACTAGAAGAGAAGTCGGGCCTATCTTTCGGCGTCCCGGAACTCGACTGCAAGCGATACAAGCCCCGTCCTGCCAAAGGAAAGGCAAATGCTGCTCTTGTCGACACCCCTGAAGAGCCAGTCGCAGGACGGCTACCATCACCACCGGCGGAAACGCCCCGATGCATTCCCCTTCATGGCACTCTTCAAATGATGCACTGTCAAACGTGTAGACATTCATACCCTCTACGCGACTACATTGGGCCCCTAGCTTCCGGTACTCCCCCACCATGTCCACAATGCACGGCCCTAGAGGAGACACGGCAGCTCGTGGGCAAACGGTCCCGTGGGGTTGGGAGACTGCGTCCGAGTGTCGTCTTATATAACGAAGACCACAAGGACGGCGAAGAGGTGGGTAACGTCGTGCGGAAGGATCTGATCGGCAGCTCGAAGGGAAAAGGCCGGGCCGGTGCAGACCTGCTTCTCGTGGTGGGCACTAGCCTCCGCGTTCCCGGGACGAAGCGCATCGTGCGCGAATTCTCAAAAGCCGTGCGCTCGCGGTATGACGCCATGAATGCACCGCCCGAGGATGCCGCGACGTCCTCCCACGGGCTCGCAACTCCCACGCCGTCGCCGCGCCGTTCTCCCGCTGAGGATGAGGAGCCCCCCGTGCGGACTGTGTATCTCAACCTCGACTTTCCGGTGCCGACGAGAGAGTGGGAGGGTGTTTTCGATGTGTGGTTACGAGGGGACGCGCAAAGTTTTGCGAGGATGGTGCACGAGGAGTTGGAGCGGGAGGAGCAGGCGAAGGAAGCGGCGCAAGAGCGAAGACGGCGAAGGGAGGAGGCGGCAGCGGAGATGGCGAGGCAGGCGGAGGAGAAGGAGAGGGAGGATGCTGCTCATGCGAACCAGGACCGGTCCCCGGTGAAGAAGGGCAAGAAGCGGAAAGAGCAGTCGCATTCGGAGAATGATGGACACGGTCATCCGACGAAGAAGCGTAAGGCAGGTGCGCCTCCGCTGTCGCCTGTCTCGCCTGCCAAGAAAGCACGAAAGGCACAGGTGAAGCCGAAGTCGCAGGAGGGGAGGCAGCGGGAAAAGCGGAGCAGCAGTTTGCCTACGCCTCCAACGTCCCGCGACGACCCCAAGCGGCTTACCATCAAGCTCCCAGCGCGCTCACAGTTCATGGAGGGAGTCGTAATTGAAACGTCTATTCCGAAGCTTCCTTGTCCAGCTGCCATTCCAGCACCACTGTCTTCTCCCCTGTCCTCTCCACCAGCTTCGGAAGACTGCGCTTCACCACCTTTAGAGGCTGCCTGCCCTCCGTTCCTGCCCTCCTCGCCACTATCCACTCCTCCCCGCTCCCGACATGCATCCTCTCCTTACAACATGTCCCGCATGAGCAGTACGCTGTCGGAGATGTCCTCGCCACTCTCATCTCCACCTGCATCGATGCACTGTCCCTCTCCGCCCAAGATCTCTCGTACGATCAGCGGCACCACGCAGCAGTCGTCTCCTCTCACACCTATCCCTCCCTCGCCGCACCGCGGAAACGCTCCTCCATTGCACAGCAATCGCTTTCCCTACCGCAGGGACATGTCGCCGCCGCTGACACCCACACCCCCGCGCAGGAAGAGGGCGGCGAGCGGGTCGCGGAATATGTCTGGCATGTACATGGGTCGGAGGCCGGGGTCCAAACCGGCTTCATTGACGTACCAGTACCACCTGCCCGCGCTGGAGGATCAGGACGTCGATGTCGAGGGGCTTAGTGACGAGGACGCTGCGCCGCCTTCGGAGAGTCGCCTGCCGGAGTCGTACGTTCGGACTCACCAGGGAAGTGTACGATGACGGTACATTTTCGTTCGCCCGATAGAGTTGTCGTGCACATCACTACTTTGCATCTGCTATCCCGCGCCTGTGTTTTGTGGCCTGCGCACATGTGATTTATTTTTATTTGTACGATACCGATACGGAGTATGGTACGGACGAAGGCGGACGTTGCTGTCGCCGACGTACGGGTGCGTGTACCGAACACTCGATACAGGTACATGCTCCGATTAATCTATTCAGCTGCTCGCCTCGCATTTCGACGATCGCACTCAGACACGGCGTACATACTGACAGGTCTAGATCAGGAACCACGCTACTCTTTGCTGGGGTACGCGCGGAGAATCATGGGCAGCGAAGCGTTCCCACCCAGTTGTCCCACGGTAGGATATCGAACACCTCCAAAGTTCCATATAATCTGCTTGTCGGAACGCTCGAAGGTGAAGTTGGCGAGTAGAAGGGACAACAGGACCTCTGCCATCAGAGTGTGAGCCTAGTGT